TGCCCCCTGTCAGTATCAGTGTCGGCCATCAGGGGGGCACCGGCCCCATCGGGGGGGCATGTGCACCCCTGTGTGCTTCCTACCAGTCACCTATGAATGGGTCTGTAGGAGGGAAGTGGGGATTGCTAGAGAGACACTGATTATTGTCACCGACCTGGGATTCCCCTTTCCTTTGCATGTGTGACACAACCTTTCCTCATTCAGGCTGTCCTCCCTTTACACCCTGCTTTCTTCCTGCCTTTCTGTTTTCCTCCACATATAGTGTTCACTAAACTTTACATAATTTTCATGTTCCTCTCTCCATATGCAGAATAAACAGGATAGACCGGAAGTATCTTGAGGACACCAGCAGCCATGGCCTCACCAAGACCAGGGCAGGGCATCCAAGAGGAAATCAAGTGTCCCATCTGCTGGCAGTATCTGACAGACCCAGTGACACTAGAGTGTGGGCACAACTTCTGTCAAGCTTGTGTCAGTGACTACTGTGAGAAATGGGAAGAACACGGACCTTTGAAGTGTCCTGTGTGCAGGGCCAAGATCCAGAAAGGGAATCACATTCCAAACTGGCAGCTGGCAAATGTAGTAGAAGGCATTAAAAAAATGGAGTTTCCTGGAGTTGAAGATGTGTGTGAGAGACACAAGAAGGAGCTGAGCCTGTTCTGTGAGGAGGACGGGGCGGTTGTGTGTGTGGTTTGCTGGAAATCCCCAGAGCACAAGTCTCACTCAATGCTGCTCATGGACGAGGCTGCCCAGAAATACAAGGTAGGAAGCACTCTGATTTCAGCTCCTTCAAACCATTCTCTGTGGGGCCAGAAATTCTCAGCCCCTCCGAGCCATGAGTACTTCCAAGTGCTCCTGCCCCACCCCCCTCCCCTTGCAGCAGCTGATTCCAGCAATAATCCTGCTGTATTCAATGACTTCCTCTGGGCTGGCATAGAGAGCCAACCACTGGTACGGCCCTGGCCTGCAGCACTCAGAATTATTGGAAGGTGTTCCTGAAAGGCCGTGGAAGGTATTTATTCCCTTTGGGAATGAACTATCATATGTCCCTGCTGTTGCAAAACCAGGGGTGGCAGGAATGAGCTAGGTGCAGCCCATAGGCAGCTGGACACAGTGCATTAAGGATGAACAGCCATGACTACCACTGGAGGCAAATTGATGAATGCACCAACAGAGTCTAGGCCTAGGCCCCAGCTATATAGAAGCATACTACCACTGGTTTTCTGCAGGCACAGCTGAGGCAGAGCAGTCAGCACAGGGAGCACTTTGTTGGCTCCTGGAGGACCTCTGCTATCATTGCCATAGGGAAAGGGCAAAATGCCAGATGGGTCCTTACAGGGTTTTCCCCCAGCTACATTTGTGCTGTGTTTTCCTCTTTGGTTAAATAGCTTTGTGCCTGCCTCCTCTCGATGGTAAGCTCTTGCGCCACCTTCACCCAAGTCGCTGACCTTGCTCACCAGGGACTTTCGTGTAGATCCTAGAGGGTACCTCAGTTGCCTTCAGGGTGACCCCCAAACTCTCCTGCCACGACTTTGAATGTTTCTTCAGTGGAAGGGGTCCCCCTCTGAGGATGCCTCCAGAGCTGTCACGTGTCTCGGCGGACGTTGACGGGGCTCCAACCTCCCCTATACCCCGGCCATGCGCCAACTTTCACGATGGGCCTCCAAATCCTTTCACGGCTATTCCCTGCTGATATCTTCCCTGGTCCCTGCGGCTTCTCCTGCCAATGAGCCCGCTGGGCCCTGGCTGGACCTGGAGGGTCTGGTGACTGTCAGTCTTTGGGCTTGTCTTCTTTGATGCCTTGAGCCGCCTATGTCTGAAGCCGCTGGCCTTTACTGGGTCCTCCTGCAGTTCCATTCTCACTGTTAGACGAAGTCCCGTCTACCCTGGCCTGGTGCTAAGGGCTCCGCTAACCCGCTCTCGCTAGGGGACGGAAAATAGACAAACCCTAAAAGGGAATATGATTAACACCCTCACCGCAAACCCCTCACCCTAAGGTGACCCGGCATGAAACAAAATCAAGAAGCTAATAACACAACTGCCAGGGGAGCACGACAAAAAGGGGAAAAACAAGAAGAGGAACACCCACAGGAGGGAGTCTCACACCCTTCTGGTCTCTAATGCCCCTGATGCCCCTAGGCTCCCGCGCCCTCTGGGTCGGGATCCAAGCCTTCACCCCCACCGGGGTCTCTCTCCCCTTCTCTCCAGTATCCACCTCCACCCTGGAGCCGCGGCACCCATTGCCTTTGATGAGGGCTCCCATGCTAGCTACCGCTGCGGTCACCGCCGCCCTCCTCGGTAGTCCTGTTGATCCCCTGTCAGTTCTTTCCACCACGGGGACTCCTTGCAGATCCTGCCGCCTTAGCCTCTGCCGGCCTCCCTGCCAGCTCTCCTGATCTCTGCCAGTCTTCTGATCCCGGCTGGGCTTCCTTTGCGGCTCTGATTGCTGCCACCACCGCTTCTGCTGCTGCCACTGCCACTTCTGCCGCCGCCTCTGCTGCTGCCGGTGGCTGCAGTGGCTGGACACTCTCCACCCCACGGTTTCCCATGGCTCCTCCACTCCTTGGCATTCCTCCTGCGCCTTCGGGGCTGCTTTTTATTTCGGCCGGGTGGCGTCTCCTTGTGACGTCACCTGGTCCCAGCTGGATATAGGTGCGGCTGACGAACCACATGGGTGGTTTTCCACTGCGCATTTTCTCGCCCTTCCCGGCCCCTACAACAGGTATGTTGTCATTTTCTTTTCTTTTTACTTGGGGTTTGCCTCTGAGCGAGGCTTCCCCCTTTTCCAGGCCTGTTCCCCTGGGAAGGGCTAATATTGGCAATTCCCAGTCACAGGTGGAGGTCAGTGTAGTTATCTTTGGGCTCTATGCTCTTTTGGCCTTCTCACTGAGAGCATTATAGAGAGAGAATTACAGGAGTGCACCAGCTAGCCAGGACATACAACATTAGAGATACTTCGCTTTCCTTTCTTTCTTCTTCGGGGTACATGAAGGATTTTGAATTAGCAATTCAATGCATTGTTTTTGTGCTTTTCTCCATGATCTCCCCCAGTAGCATAGCTAGGGCAGGGGGGGAAAGGTGTTTAGACTCTCCCACCTCCCTAGATTGCCACTCTAGGGAGCCCACACAACTGTCTCTCCTTCAGCTCAGCTGCCCAGCCCATGCTGCTAAGAGAGGAGCAGCAGCAGTTGTAGCAGCCAGTTAAGTGTGGAGAGCCTGGGTAGGTAAGTCACTTTTCCCTCTCCCACCTGTTTCCCCATCCACCCCTGATTTCCTGTGATCAGTACAATTCCCCCTCCTCTGGCCCTGCCCCAGGAGCTCAAAAAGTTTGTTATGCTTCTGAACCTTCCACTATTTTTTGAACATTAAAATTGGGTTCTCTTCTCCCTGGGAGCCTTTATGAGGCATGATAGAGAATTTTTAAGTGTGTGACTAGGGAAACAATTCTGAACCTCAGAGTTTTGATATTTCTTTGAGATTTTTTTTAAAACGAGAGAGGACAGAACTTTTTTAAAAGCCCAGGAATTTCCAGGCCTTTTTGGCTGGTCATAAAGACCAGAGAGTTGTTAGGGACTGGTTTCTATTTTATTATAACTCATTCCAAGGTTCCTCTGGTCTTCAAGACTGGAGATCAGAATTCACAGAGATTTAGATGCGGTCAGTACTTTGTCCTGTGATATATTGTGTGTTAGCCATTATATATGGTACTGTTTCTTTACATGTTTCTCTACTGTGTGCCTCCTTAAGGTCTTCAGTTTTGGTTCCTGTTCAGAACAATAAAGATACCAGCCCTGTAAACTAGTCTCATCTCCCCACCATTGTGGAGCCATAAAGCATAACATGGCCTTCCCTTTCCGACTTTCAGAATCAAACACCCAATCTAGTGTTGTGCTGGGATCTGCATCCCCCACCTGCTAACAGATGTAGATACGGTCTGGGCTCTGTAGGACATTGGTTAACGTAGCTGCTGCTGTATATGGGACCCTAAACCTACATGAGATGATGTCACCCTTTGCTCTTAAATTTCCTTGGGCTCCAGAGCCAGCAGGAGCTGGGGATACAGGAGATGGAGCAGTGTCTGGTAACTGGCAATGCTGGTGTCTGACACTCACTTCATTCCAGCCATGGGCAATAGCTCATCCTTTGAGGATAACATTTTCTGGGAAGAGCCAACTACCATGTAGTCTGTGACTTCTTTTGGCTTTTATACAGTCCTGTATTATTAATTTGAATATCACTGAATCAGAAACTTGGCAGGGTCACCAGGACAAAGCACGTGAGAGCTGGCCAATAACAATGTGACAGTCATTGAAATTACAGCAGGGGAGGTACCTTGACTGTGTGGAGAAGACATCCCAGTCTCTCCATTCCCAAAGGAAAACTCACCCCACCCAAAGTATTTTCCTTCTTTCAGGAGCAAATTCAGGATGAACTGGAGATTTTGAGGGAAGAGAGAAAAAGGCTTGAAGACCTGAGAGTGAGTGAGAGTCAGAAACACCAAGAATATCAGGTCAGTGCTCCTGGTTACTGGTGATCAGGGCAACATGGGAAGCTGGAGGGGAGGATGTCTTCTCTGTGCATTTGGTGGAAATATGAGTGCTGGGTTTTTTTACTGTGTGTTGCTCTGCATGGGGAGAGCTACTGAATTCTCTCCTACATAATTTAACCCGGGTGTACATAGGTTTGTACTCCCCGTTCCAACTGAGGGAATTATTGGCAGGGCAGTGTGGTATGGAGGGATACAACAGGCCAGTGGCCACCTCCATCCCCTATAGAGTCAGGCCCAATCAATCAATTACTTAACTATATACAAATTTATTATTACAACAAAATCATTAAAGGGTAAGGACATATATTATATATATATATATGTACAAATTTACAAAACAATAAACCCTATACCATATATATATATGTAGCCAGGACTCAGTTCCCCTCTCCAGCACTGCAATCTGATGGGGGGTGCTGTGATCTGGCGGGGGGGGCAGAGAGTTAGCCAAGCTGGGCTCACTCCCACCCCCCACGCTGCGATTGGGTAGGGGGGCAGAGAGTCAGCTCGGGGGTTGGGAGTGAGTCCAGCTGGGCTGACTCTCCACCCCCATGCCCGATTGCAGCGCTGGGGGTGGGAGTGAGCTCAGCTGGGTTGTCTCTCCACCCCTGTGCCCGATTGCAGGTGGGCTGACTCTTCCCCACCCCCCGCCCAAGCTAGTGCCAGGGATGGGGAGTCAACTCAGCTGGGCTGACTCCCCACCCGCAGTGAAATGTCGAAACAGCATTGAAACAGCCTTTCAGTTTTAACAGAATGGAACAGAACAGCTGCTTCAACTCGAAATGAAATTCGAAATGGAACGCTGTTCCTTCGAGCCGTCAAAACTGAAGGCAAAATGGAACGGTGCTGTTTCACACAGCCCTACGGAGCAGCTCTCTTCAGCTCTTCTAAGCCCCGCTCTTCTCTCTTCTCTGTCCCCGACACATCTCCCTCGTGCTGGGCACGCAGCTCCTTTTATACGCTCCAGGGCTCTGCTGCTGAAGTCTTCCGGACTGGACAGTTTACAGTCTTCAGTCAGGTCCGGGGGAGCTCTTCTCCCCGTCCCATCAGGAAAGGGGTGTGACTTTATTTCTCTTGCTGCCTCCTGATTTGTGAATGGGTTCCACCAATAAAAACAGCAGGATCTCAAGCCTGGGACTCAACCCAAGCTTGGAATGGTAAGCCTGCTGCATTATATTGAAGCCCTCAAAGCTGCAGAAAGAAAACTTTCTAAGTTGAACTAAGCGCACAGAAACCAGGCAGGATGCCTGAGTCTGCAGCCAGGCAGGTCTAGGAGCAGAGATGCTGTAAGACCCAACATATTTTCAAGACCACAGGAGCTCCAGGGGACTAACTGGTCTGATTTTAAGGCTCACAAAGCCTTGCACTGTGGCACCTGACTCTCCCCAAAGGTCCTGACCTCTATTTCCTGGCTTCCCACTGCTCCTTGCAGGCAAAGACAAAGGCTGAGAGGCAGAAGGTTGTGTCTGAATCTCAGCGACTGCGCCAGTTCATCGAGGAACAGGAGCGACTTCTTCTGGCTCAGCTGGCAGAGCTGGAGAGGGAGATTGAGAAGAGTCATGAGGAAACTGTCACCAAAGTCTCTGAAGAGGTTTCTCATCTTGACAACCTGATCAGAGAGATGGAGCGCCAGTGCCAGAAGCCACCAAGGGACCTCCTGTGGGTGAGATGCATTAAAACCCCTCCTGTCCCTGTGCAGGAAATGGGGAAGGCCTAAACTATAGGCCTTGATTGGGGGGGGGGGGGGTGTTGTAATAGGGAAATATTTATCTAGATACTGGTGTGTTGCACTCAGTCAGGCAGACTGCACCTGCCCCTAGAACAGGAGGGACCCCAGTTGTGGCAGGTGGCACTGAGCTCTCTCTTTCCTCTTTCTCTCTCCCCTCCAGGGCATTAGAAGCACATTGAGCAGGTAGGTGGCTCCCTCTCACTTCCAAGGGTGGGCAGGGGCCTGGACACTGTGATATGACCACATATTCCAGGGACACTGTAGCACCGCATGCAGGGCAGTCTCTTTGCTATGACACAGATCTCTGATAATGATCCATCCTGAGGTCATTTAATGCAAACTCTGGGATTCTCCCTGGAGTGGGAAGGATCTTGTCTGATCCCAAGGAAAACTATAGACAGTTCAGAGCTGCAAAACATTAATCCCTTGTATAAAGGGAGCTGGCACCTTTACTGTCTGGGCTGCCCTTTTCCTGTGGCAGCAGGTCTGTCCAGCTAGTAAAGGCTGAGTACCAGCAGAAAATGGAATGACACTGCAGGAAGGGAGGTTTAGGTTGGATATTAGGAAAATCTTTCTCACTAAAAGGGTGGTAAAGCACTGGAACAGGTTACCCAGAGAGGTGGTGGAATCTCCATCCTTGGAGATTTTTAAGACTCAGCTCAACAAAGCCCTAGCTGGGATGATCTAGTTGGGGATGGTCCTGCTTTGAGCAGGGGAGCAGACTAGATGACCTCCTGAGGTACCTTCTGACCCTAATTTTCTATGACTCTATGAATTGCCTTTCCCAGGTGCAAGAAGGGGAAGTTCCAGCTGCCAAGGGGGATTTTCCCTGAGCTGCAAACAAGACTCAAGAGCTGCTCTGAACTAAACCTAAGGGAGAAAGTTAGCATGTTTCAAGGTACTGAGCAGGGACGTTGGGGAACAAAAGGGATGTGCTCCTGTGTGTGGAGAGAAGACAAGCTCTGAGTGGTTAGAATCCTGTTTCACTTTTCACCCCCAAAGGGCATGTACCCAGCCACACAAGAGTCAATTTTGGCACCTAAGTACAGTTTGCAATCCCATTCTACCCTCCACAGTAATGCTATGCATACCCAGGGGGCTGTGTGCTGTCCAATCAGGTCTGTGGCTCCATATAGATGTAGTTAATCATAGATGTAGCTAGTGCAAATCTAACACTTAAAAGAAGAAAGTTTCCCAATCTTCACATTTTAGCTCAGAAACCTAGAGGTTGTGGTGCTGACCCAGGAAGCAGAAGATCCGTGGTCTGGCACCTGCAGATGGAGGGGATAAGAATGTGCTTTTTTTTTTTCACTTCCCAAGACACTGCCCAAACCACCAGGCCAAAAAGATTACATCATTTCCAGGCCAATCCCCAACCTTCTTCCTGAAGCTGAGCCCCTGCACCTTGCATCTAACAGTCATTGGATGCAAGGTTCAGGGAGGTTTCTTTCCCATTGGTGGAAATCGCCAGGCTGGAAACCAGGACCTGATTTTTCCAAGAGCTGCAGCCATTTTGACACGCTAGTCACCTTCCAGATCTCTGTTTTCCTCCTGGCCCCATGTATCACCCTCTTGCCCCTTCCCATGGCACCAGCTCTAAAAGGAGGGCTGGAGAGGAGCCAACTTGGCAGCCAACCTGTGGAGTAGCAGTGGGATCATGGGGCCGAGGAATCAGACGGAGGCAATTTTGCCCTACTGTAAGGTGACTGGAGTGTCCTCATCTCTCTTCTACCTGACCAAGTACCTGAATTTCTGTGTTAACAGGATAAGATATGGGAGCTCCCTCATCCAGGGCTGCTTCTAGACACTGGTCTTGCCTGGCAGGAATGGCAAGCTGTATGCTCACCTAGATAGATGCAGACAAAGCTGCACACCTACTCTGCTGGGCCGCAACCTACTGTACATGTTTGGTAGCCATATGGACTCTTCTGTGTCCATGGTACCTGGGATATGTGATTGTCCACTGTGCATAATGGCCAAAAGCTGCAGTTCTGTGAATGGAAAACTGCCATCTGGATGAAGCAACCCAAATAGGGTTCAGCCTTCATTCATTCTTGTATCACACTTCATTCATTCACACTTATATCAGAACAACAAAATTAATACATAGGGCTGAGAGAGTCACAGGGAGGGTCAGACCAGAGATAGAGGGAATGCCTTGCATGAAGCTCAACCTATGGTGTATTTTATCCTTGCAAGGCCCTACTAAGGGTCACTAGAGCATAGGGGCAACTTTGGCCAAATCTTTGACTTTCCCAGACAGTGCCAAGGTATGTCCTATCCCACCAACCATGGGATAAATGTGTAAAGCACATCCCTGTCAGTGGCTACCCTACCAATACCCTGTGTACATCCTCTGTGACCTTTTTGTTCTTCCAGGCAATCTTCAATCTTATCTGGAGGAGGGCTCATACTCCAAGGGTAAGTGCTATTGAAGACGTTCGTATTCACAGAAAAATCCCACTGCAACACTCCCCTTCCCTCACATAATGAATACTCTCACAGCCCAACACTTAACCCCTCTGTGTTGTGACCTGGGGGGTTGGGCCAGGATTTTTCTTCATTCACCTGTGGATTTGGTGCCCCATCCTCCCTGTTCTCGCAGAACAGGGGCTCTCCCCAGTACAAGGCTGAGGAGCTGTGGGGCCATCTCTGCTCAGCTTCAGGGACCCATGGCCAAGGCAGCTCTTGGGGCTCAGGACAGTGCCAGGAAGGATGGAGTTGTGGGGAGGGTGAGGAAATAGCCCCTGCCTGCCCCAGAGCTGAGCTCTTCCCTGACACTGTGATTCTCTCTCCCAGTGAAGGTGACTCTGGATCCAGACACTGCAAATCCCCAGCTCCTCCTTTCTGCAGATAGGAGAAGTGTCAGATTGGCAGACGCACCGCAGCAGCTGCCTGACAATCCTGAGAGATTTGATTCTGAGCTGTGTGTGCTGGGCCATGAGGGATTCATCTCGGGGAGACACTGCTGGGAGGTGGAGGTGCAGCAAGGGATATTCTGGGCCATGGGGGTTGCCAAAGAGTCTGTGAGAAGAAAGGGAAAGATCCACCTTAGGCCTGAGGACGGGATCTGGGCTGTGCAGCGTAGGTTTCATCAGTTCCAGGCTCTCACTGCACCTACTCCCATCCCCTTGTCTGAGCATCAGGTGCCCAACAGGGTCTGGGTATGTCTGGACTGTGCAGGGGAGAATGTGTCATTTTTTGATGGAGATACCAAGGCCCTGATCTTCACCTTCCTGCTAGCCTCATTTGCTGGAGACAGAATCCGGCCCTGGCTCTGGCTTAAGGGCACTGGAGCCGAGCTTAGACTGTGTCACTGAAATGAGGGTGGGCAGGGGAGATGTCCCACAGGGAATGATTGAAGTATCTACTCCAGCTTCCTACTCTCTGTGATCCCGGGGGGGAGAGGGGAGGGGGGGACGGGTACCCTCTCCCAGCCCCCATGTCTGCACATCTGTCACTCTTGGAGCTGTAGTAGATAAATGGGCACAGTCTGGTTACACAATCCTATTGCAGCAGGTATCACCAGGCTGGTTTGCCCCTGTGTGCTATGGCTGTAGAGGACTCCAGCAGGACTGGCCACACAGTCTCCCCTTTAGGAAGCCCCTGGGTGGGGAGTCTGTGCCCTGCTTCCAGCCTAGAGCAGCCCATGGGATCTCTGTAAAGCCCTGCAAAGTGCCCCTTAGCATCCTCTGGTCAGGGAGGCCCGTGCTATACGACACGTGTGTAGGGCTGTGCGGGGCTAGAGCCAGAGCACTGACAGAGGCTACCCATGGGGAAGTGCTTCTGACCACAGTTAAATTTGGGTTGGTTTCAGTCTGCATCCAAGGCCTCTGGGCAAGGGTTTTCAGAGGCTGTAGTGCCCCAGTTCCCATTAGGGATAGGTGCCTGCTTCCCTCAACTTCCTCTGTCAACAACAGCTCCACTGCACTGGACACGTGGACTGTTGACAGAAGCAGAAATTTGAGCAAACACCTTCACTTTAAAAAAAAAATGCCTTTGACCCCTTGATCTTAAATCTCCTTTTTCTCTCTCTGCATCTCACCTGGCCTGGTTCTGTCCCATGTCCTGGATGATGTGGGCAGGATGTCCCCTGCGGGATGGACACCTCTTCTTTTCTTTGCAGCATCCCTCTCTTTCTCCCACCTAAAAGGAACTTGAGTTAAAAACCGGGGGCACATTCTTATTCACATGAGAGCCCCTTTGCTCCCCACCAGCAGCAGTTTGGGAGTTGATTGGGGTGGAAAAGGCAGTGGGCTCCAAAATCAGGTGCGTGTTTCTGAAAATCTCAGCTTGGATGGACAGGGGTGTCATATCTCTTTTTATTCATAGTCACAGACTCAGGCTGAACCATTTCATGTTGCCATGAGGTACTTAAAAGGTATGTCTACATGAGATGCTTAATTGCACATTTGAATAATGTGCAGTAAAGAGTCACTGTTTATAAGTGTACAGCAATTACTGTACATTAGATTAGTCTAATGCACTGTTTGCTAGTACCAGTAGATACAGGTACTGGAAATGGTGCATTAAACTAATGCACCATACTGTATGTGTAGATGCTGACCTGGAGCATATTGTTCCTGGTCAGCCCAGGCAGAAGGGGGCCACAACTGCTGCCTGCTCTGATCTGTGTGGCACTGGCAGGGAGCTGCCCCCAGAGCCAGGACAGCTCCCCTGACCTCTGGAGCCCAAACCTAACCACCAGTGCCCCCTGCCAGCCTGGGGTAAAGCAGGGCAGGAGCTCCTGTTGGGCTCAGTTTGCTCCAGAAACAGGCACACATGCTGGGAGCACTCCTGGGAGCACTTTAATGTGCCTGAATTTTCTGTGCAGCAAATTCAGGTATATTAATTGCACGTGTAGACCTGTTTTTGTTTTTATTAATCTCATCGCACTTCTCAACCTCACAGCCTTGCTTCTGCAAACTAAGCGCTCCAGGGAGACCTTAGTGTTAATGTAAAGTCTCATGGACCAACCATAGCAATGCAGGTTCTAAGTGCAGGAACACAGTCCCCTTCATAACCCTGTTACCAAAGCTTCCAAAGCTGTGGCTTTGTCTGTGTTGGACTTACCTGTGGTCTCGCGACAGCTCAGCAAGGCACACTCCATTATGGGCAGCCCTCTGCATTCTCCTGGACTAGCTCTTGAGTTTCCTAGTTTTGATATAGAGGAGGTGCTGATCTCTTTCAAGACACTGTGGAAGCTCCCTGCCTCTCAGTGGAACAGGGAGGCAGACAGAGCACATAGCTAAGGCTTTTAGAAATAGGGGAGGCACCAAATTGTGAACCACAGGGGTGGAGATGCTTGTTGGGTCACTTCTGTTCACCTTCATGAAGTGAGCAGGAATATGAATGGAGCACGAATGGTACCAAATTCCAAATAAACCTAGAGATTGGGCTGCAAGGAGCCAGAGACATGGGGCAAGGGTGGGCAAACCTCCTGCTTTCTGGGGCCATTCCCTTTCCCCTTGTGCCTGGCAAGCTGCTGTCAGAAATGGTGTTTTTGCCAACTCACAACAGGGTCTTTATGTTAATAGGAGCAGGGTTTGTTATCTGATTTAGCCATGCCCAGGACTGCCTTTTTCTTCTGTGTATGCATAGGAGGGGGCCCTCCACCCTGTTACTCGGAGGAAGTAAGGATGGGGTTGTGGATGTGGAACGCAAGGATGTGGAATGGCTGTAGGTAACATGTGCCTCCAACCTTTTGTTCAGAAATAAAGTATTTCCTTGCCCAATCTGAATCTTTATTCCTGAAAACTGCCGGAAATATCCATGTCTCTCCACCTTGAGCTGTCTTTCCATTCTTCCAGTCCCTTTGACTAAGGAGCTGGGCTCAACTGGCCATGTGTGACATAATTGGATAAATCCTATTTCACCTTCATGCACCTGTGGAACTGCCCAACTGCAACATTGACACTGACACAGGCTAGGCTCTATTTCCATCTGGGGCAAACTAAGATGACACATATCTATTGGGAGCAAAGTGAAGGATGATAAATATTGTTCAAACTTGAGCCCAGTGCCTAGTAGTTAAGGGCACTTGTTGAAAGAATGAAAAATCCAGTTTCAAGGCTCCCCCAGCAAGAAGGGGCTTCAGTTTCTGCACCTCCTGTTTTACACCAAATTGCTGTAATGACACGGCCCTGAGTTAGGCATCACCCAGTGCCTCCTAAAACCCTTCTCTTGTAGCTGGGCCACTTAACAGCCCAGAAGGAAGCATTTGTGGAGCCAGGAGGAGGAGAAACAAGCAGGGACCTACTTCCCTTGGCTGTTCTGCACCTTGCATTTAATATTCACTGGACGAGCAGCTGTGAGACGATTCCGCACCACTGGAGGAGAGGGCCAGACCTGAGCACCACTTCCCTGCAGCTGGGTGTTTCCTCCTCTTAGCCACTCTGCCTGCGTTCCTCTCTTCCTTCTGGCTGCAGACACCTTTGTACAAGAGCACAGAGGTTACAGCACTTGCTCAGGGAGTGAGATACCTTGTTCCTAGGTTCCCCTCTTCTTGAAGGGCTTCACCCTTAAATTTACCTCTGCCCAAACAGTTCTCTATCCAGCAGGTATGGAAGAGTCAGGGTAAGCCTCCTCCCCACTTTTCTTCCCATTGAGGCTGGGGCACTGAGGAACCAAAGGTGTGGTATTCACAAAGCCAGAAGGAGAGCAGGCAAGAAGGCATGGGACTCTATAGCTTCTTGGGCAGGGCACTTGACTGGAAAGGGAGAGTCACAGGTTGCACTCCCTGATCCGAGGATGGTTTATGCCTTTTGCATTAAACAAGCATGGATTTAAAAAACACTATCAACCATTGTAGCAGGGGACAGAAACCACAGACTCTTTCCTCCCCATTATCCATGTGAAGTAGTAGATGCCTCATGAAGGTATAGTTAGAAAATTTGGTGCCTGGGGAGAAAATGCCAGAGAGCAGACAAGGAGTGCAGACAGACTTTGACAGCTGCTGCAAAAACAGGCTGCAGGAAAGGAAGTCTTACTGCAGAGTCCAGCAAGCAGCTGCAGTGAATGCTGCTGCTGCTGCTGCAGGTGCTGGGAGGTCTCCCTGGGTCCTGCCATCAGAGTTGCCAACTATCCATAAAAAAAGCTAAACACACTTGTCTGTAATGTCTGCACTGATAAACAAGCTGTCCCTCAAAAACTAAGGAATCATGAGCTTGATTAAAGATCCACTGTTGGAATGAGGCTGTTGATGGGCAGAGCAGAGGAGAGGAAAGCATCACTACCTTGTGCCTGAGCAGATAGCTCAGTGGCCTGCAGGGAGCTCTCCCACAGGACTTTGTGCCCCTTGGGAGCCTCTCTAGCCCAGTACCCCACCCAGCCACATGTTGCCACTGTATCCCTTTGGCTGCTGCCTGCCTTTTAATAGTGACTCACTTCAA